TATCTTCTATAATCAGATAATACATATAGATTAAATAATGTTTCATCGATAGACACCAGGCCTAGATTTATATAGATCCCAGGCCAAGATTTCATCCAATCACTTTCAATATTAATCCTTCAGTGTGGTTCTCTCTTGTCAGTGGTGCAGGACAGAAGGTCTGACAAGGGACAACTGTCTAGTCGTTCGAATGGGACGAAACACGGAGGCCCCGTGTACACGTAAATTGACATAACATTCTACAGAATGCAGGAAGGACAGCTGTCTAGTCATTTGGATGGGAGGAAAAACCGAGGTTCCGTGTACATATTGGTAGTTGTAATTCGATATAAGAGTAGGCCGTAGTGCTGCTGTATGGGCAAAATTTCCCTCATACCACACTGTATAGCGTATGCCCGTCTTCATTAGCTCAGGCGGGGCTGAACAGTAGGACGTTAAACCCCATTTCTTTCAACGCAACTAATCTCTTTTATCCCTCGTCCGCAAGAACATGAATATTCGTCAACACCTAACAGAAAGTCTAAAGTCATACCCTTTTTGCTCGACCCTACGCCAAAACGTCAATAAAAATCCCCGTCCAAACGGAGGTAGATTTTTGACATCTGTGACTCTTTTTTTTTTTCTTAGATTTGAGAAATTTTGTGAATTTGATAAACAGAAATTGAAAATTGTCTCCAATTGTTTTTTTTTTGTTTTGAGTACCAATGAGTCATTGTTTGTTGAAATTATCATTTAAGATGCAATATTCAAGAATTACATCTGCCTAATGGGGATCTTTCGTTCTTTAGTTTGGCCTCAAATGTCATATAAATCATTAATTACACATTTATATACATTTAAGTCAATAGTCAACTCTCTAGAACATCGAATAGTTTTGATTTTCAATAGATTTAAATACGATTGCAGCAAATGATTTAATGAAAAAATGGATAATCGGGACTGTGTTTATTATCGTATCAACGGTAGTAATGACAATCGAGAATACACCGATGATAAATCCACTCAGAATGGTGTATTGCGGCTGAAGTTCTCAGCATATTTCCTTTTCGTTATCTATTTTTTATCTATTTTTTAGCGAGAACTACAGTTTTTTATCTATATCTTACACTAGTAGGATACCGGCTTCGCTCAGGGTCATAACTCCGAAACCGGATGTGGTAGACTAACGCCACCTGGCCTATGTTACTCCCCGGTCCGCGCTACCCCTATACCCCAAATTTCAGACTCGGGACAGACCTAGTGTAGCCGCCAACCCCGAACAGACCGGCTTCGCTCGGGGGTCATAACTCCGAAACCGGAAGTGGTAGACTAACGCCACCTGGCCTATGTTACCCCCCGGTCCGAGCTACCCCTATACCCCAAATTTCAGACTCGGGGCAGACCTAGTGTAGACAAACGACAGTCAAAAACATTAGTATAGATAGATAATGACCCATTAAGGGATTGGTAGGGGGGAGGGGCGAAAGGTTTAAAACGTGCGCTTTAAATCATAAGGTCTGCAGTCATTGAGTCGACTGGCGTGATTTCGATTCCCCGGTTCTACGTGACAAGGAGTAGGGTCGCCTGTCCAACCTCGTGGATGTTCTCCGGGTCCTCCGGTTTCCACCCACTGCTAAAGACCCATATACGCAAGCGAATTATTGAAATAAAACTGAACCATATGTTAGTCCCCAAATGACATAGTTTGTGTCGAGTGGACGTTAAACCCACTCTTTGAAAAAGTCGTTTCTAGATAATGTTTTTTACTGCCAAAGCCCCCCCCCCCCTACGTGCAAGCGAAGTATTGAAATAAACTTGAACCATGTGTTAGTCCCGAAATGACCTAATTTGGGTCGACAGGACTTAAACTCTCTCTCTCTCTCTCTCTCTCTCTCTCTCTCTCTCTCTCTTTCGCTCTCCATGAGTTATACGTCTTACTTACATCAATGAAATAAAAATCAAATTGTAAACTTTATTAATCTGTTGATCAGCTCGACCTGAAGATAACCCCCACCCAATATTGTTAAATGATATGATCATGTTATCAAGAGAAAACCTTTGATTGTTTTTGTGTAGGCCGATATTAAATACCTTGAAGATAAACTACATGATGACAGTCTGTCTCAGTCCTATAATTTAACTAAATAAATTGCAGTTAAATATCACTTTTTTCGCAGTTCCCGCGGTTATTTAGCGAAATGATGTGAAAATCGACACCTTTGAAGTGACGTCATATCTTTACATGACGTCAGTTTAATAATATCGTGTTTGGAAATTTTAACTCAATGGCCAAATTTACGCCATTATAGTAGCCTAAATTGGATCTTTCGGATTTTGTTTCGTGAAAAACGGTGTCTAATGAGTATAACGGTCCTCTAAACTTCATAGGCGACTCAACATTATCCCCCCCCCCCCTTTAATTAGAATTAAATTGTATATTGTTAAATCTGTTGAAATATCGATATTTGACTCAGTGCTATAATATTTAAAATTTAAATTCATATGCCTTCTGATTTGCTTAAAAAGATTAAGTAATATTCCCCTCCTCACCTAGTCCCTACACCCCCCCCCCCCCCGCATCCATAACTAAAAGTATATTATCTTCGTACCGATGAGTTATTATTGAATTGAAAGAAAGATATCTCGACCTCTAAATTATTTATATATTTACAGACTAACTGATAAAACACGAGGTGCGTTCATTAACATGTACTTGATTTACATCTGTTATCACACAACCGTTTAAATTGTACCATATAGCCGGCGCCGGTGGTGGGGGGGCTAATGACGCATACGGTTTAGATCGTAAGGTCTATCATTGAGAAAAGGGGCGTGGTTCTTACCCCCACACTTGCATGTTCAACTTCGCTTTCCTCCCATTGCTAAAGATCCCTATACGTGCAAGTGAATCATGGAAACGGTATTGAATCATATGTTAGTCCCGAAATGATCTCGTTGAATTGATATTTGACCCCATTTCTCTCTCCCTCACAGCTTCCCGGGTCTAGTCTATCGCGGTAGTACACATGAATTACAGCGGCTGTAGATTTTAATGGTGGTCTGCGTCCAAAACAAGGACACAGAGTTACCCCCTTGAATTATAGACTATTCTTTGGGTCTTTTTTTTTCTTCTGTATCCAGGATCTGATTTGGTATCTCGGGGCCATCGTATAACCCGGTTTTTATGAACTTGTAGTCCCATTGACGAGCTTGGCCTAGATCACCTTAGTGAATACATGTATATTTACAGAAAATAATCGTTTATTCAAGTTTTATTCAAGAGCTAAATCTGCATATTGCAGGTCTTTCGGCCTTACATATAATATAAATTATTAATTAGACATTAATTAACATGAAAAGACCTTAATCAACTCTCGATGGCATCGGATGATCGAAATGTTAACTAGATTAGAACGGCTCGATCATTTAATGATTTAATTTCAAAATGGATAAGCGAGGCTAAGACTCGAATATACCAGTACCGTGGTTGCCTTAATAAACAATCAATGCACACATCTTACGGCCAGCTAACTTTTACATAATGTATCTTTAATATGTTGCCGACTAAATGGAAAATTAAGCTTTCAAACTTTGTATTTACGAAATGTAGGGTTTCGTGGGATAGGCCTACAGTAACGCGATACGCTGGATGAATTAATAACAACTTTGCTATTTTGAGATATATGTAGAGAATCTAAGCCGTGTATTAACTTTAATAAAATTATCTAAGTTATTTCGAGGCTGGTGGTTATATGAACTGTGGTATATTCTTACTATCATATAAATATAGAAACATTATTCAAGCTAATCCGATTATATTTATAATCTTTTAATATCCAGAACAATTCAAATGAAATGAAAAGAAATAGGGTTTAATGTCCTACTATTCTGCTCCGAACTGGGCTAATAAAGACGGGCATATGCCATACAGTGTGTTATGAAGGAAATTTTTTCCGGGCAAGCGGCGCTACGGTCTATTCTTATATATCGAATTCTAACACCGAAGGGTTCATCTACGTGCACTAGACCTCGATTTCTGTCCCATCCGGCCGACTAGACAATGACCTTATCGGACCCTTTTCCCGCTAAAATGATTATTAAACATTAAAAAAAAAGCCGTGACTGATAGATGGTACTGGGTTGTTTAAATCGTCGACTGTGAGGTTAGTTCTAATAATTAAGGCTAACTGCAGATTTGGTCAAAGGTCACGAGATGTAAACAGCCTAATTCTAATCCTAACCCACAATCGTCAACAATCTGACGGAATCTGCAGTTAGCTCTAACTTTTGGACTTTACCAATATATTCCCAATTTATCGTTAAAGAAGCTAAACGTAATGGAATCATTTTTGGACCGTAACAAACATCTTATTCCTGTTAGCCACCCGCCGGGCGAAAGCATACGAGAGAGAGAGAGAGAGAGAGAGAGAGAGAGAAAGAGAGATGGGTTAACGTCCACTCGACACAAACTAAGTCATTTCGGGAGTAACATATGGTTCAATTTTATTTCAACAATTCGCTTGCGCGTAGGGGTCTTTAGCGGTGGGGGGGCGGAAGACCGGGATATAACCCACGAGGTTGGACAGGCGACCCTCCTTGTCACGTATAAACGCCAGTTGATTCAATGACATACATTATGATACAGCGTGCACGTGCTAACCATTCGGCCATCCAATCCCCCTGACAAGCATAGGCTATACAATGTGCTGTGAAGGAAATTTTGCCAGGACAGCCGCACTACGTTCTACTCTTATGTCGAGTTTCAGCTGTCAATGGATCTTTTACGTGCACGCCTACGTGTACACAGGACCTCGGTGTTTTCGTCCCATCCGAACGACTAGACAGCTGTCCTTGTCAGTTCCTCAGTCCCACTCCACTGACAAGGGGAAATCTCGCCGAAAAAGTTTCGAGCTACTTTCTCGACTAACCCCGGGAGCGAACCCGATAACCCCGGGTTAGCTAGAGAGGGTCTACTCACTGGGCACCACGACTCCCCAAAATAAAATGAACAATTTTTAAATATCCGTGTATTTATATAAAATTATATATATTACATATGTTTATATACAAGTCAGTATAAATTATCTTATTTACACATTATTTACATACTCACAAAAACTATAACAAAATCTTTATCTATATACGTGTACCATATATAAAATGCACTCGGCAAACCTCGGCAGGTTCCGATACTCTACATCTAGCCTCGGCTGTATGACGGTAAGTGATATGTACCTACGCCTATACAATTGCGATGCGGCACCGGTTTACTTATTAGTAAAGCTTGCCGCTTTCAAAAAATAAGTTATTAAAATTGCGTCGTTCGAAGCGTGTGTAGAATTTTTAGTGCAAAGTTGTCCTTGTTTGAAGAAAATCGGATAAACTTGAAAGAAAAACCGCTTTAGACTTTGAAATATGATAAACATTCTTCAAAGGCGTCGTCCATGGCAACGCCGTTGGTAGTTCGGGAACTTGAAAGTAGTTTCAATGGCGGACTTCGTCATACAGTCGAGGTTAGATGTGGTGTACTGGAATCTGCCGAGGTTTGCCGAGTGTCATTTACGTGCACAATAATGCGCACCTTACTACGTCATCAGTACGTATTTACTATGATTACGGAGAATGCCCACGTGATGAATCGTGTGTTAGTACATCTATTTACTGAATATATTCCTGTGTTTTGTGAATAAATAAAATGAAATGAAATAGAGTTTAACATTCTAGTTTTCTGAACCGATCGGGATAATGAAAACGGTCACAGGCTACGTCATGCAGTATGCTGTGGTGAACATTTTGCCCAGACAGCGCCGTCTCCGCCTAGTCATCATCGAATTAAAACTGACATGTGATCTTTTACGTACACGAGACCTCGGTTGTCGTCCCGTACGAATGACAAATGCTGTTATTGAAGATGACTGTGATTCAAGGGAAGTAACTCTATTTAAAGGCACAGCGACGCGAATAATAACGTTATTTTATACATAAATAAAAATAATACAAATGAAATGAGGTTTAACGTCCTACTGTTCTGAGCTAACTGATAAATGCTGAATAAACAATAAAAAGGGTACAATTCGTTCGATCTCTTGATTTTTATTAAGGTAGGGGTCTGGAGACAAATCAGAAAGGGTACAATTTATAATCGGAAATCTTCTAAACTGTGACCTTCTCGACAATAACTCACCGCAAAACGTCCCTTCTCCTTCACAGGTTGTTTTTTTATTATTATTATTTTTTTTTAGAAATTTATAACTAGAACTTTTTGATCAAAAGATTCTTAGATTAATTTTACCGGGGGTGGGAAGATGGCGGTGACTGAACACAGCCTTTATTGTTCTATGGCTTATTGGGATATTGACTTTAGTATATAACTTTTAAAACTACCTACATCATGATCACCTGGACAATATATATGGTATATATTATGCTAAGTATGAGACAAGTCACCCATAGATAATAAGTTAATATCGTGCTGTTGATTAAAATGGAGGCCAAGCTCAAAATGTTGTAATTGTATTTCTCTTCTCTTTCCCATACCAGGTATAGGCCTAAACATTCTAGGTATAGGCCTAAACATTCCAGGTGTAGGCCTAAACATTCCGGGTGTAGGCCTAAACATTCCAGGTGTAGGCCTAAACATTCCGGGTGTAGGCCTAAACATTCCAGGTGCCGATTAAATCAAACCATTAAACGTCGTCTCAATTTCTGTCTTCAAGTACCAGATACTCTGAAAGATAAAATAAACCCACGAGCCACAGTTTTAGTTTAGATTTACACAAAAAGCAAATTACAAGCTAAACAAAATAAAACTGGTCAAAAAAAAGCTAAAGTTAAGCCAAGCAAGCACAAAGCTGTATACAGATATTTAAAATACGACTTAATATATTTATAATATAACTTTTAATTAAAAGAGTCGTTAATTCAGACAGGTGGCTCTGTGTACTTTACCTGCAAGATGTGAAAATAAAACCATTTGAAAATTTAATTTATATTTACACCTAGCTCCAAAATTTTATAATTAAGGTAAAATTACAGAATAATTTATATTCACTCTAATACAGTCACAAAAGAGGATTAATCTAATATTTATTCTAGCGTTCTCTAAATCTACTCTTGTCTTGCTGGACTTGATAATAAACATTATGAACTATTAATAAATGAAATACCACACTTAAAAAAAGACATTTACCTTGTGCTCGGATAAATTTAAATCTGGCCTAAACGTATCACAGACATCACAGTAGCAAGTGTCCGTTCTTTCATCCACAAAACACATATCATGTCACATGCATGACGTCATCAATCGTCACATTCCATCATCACATAACATCACTTACTTATAATCACGTTCAAATCACATCGTCACATGCTAATGACGTCGTCACGTGCTAATGACGTCGTCACATGCTAATGACGTCGTCACATGCTAATGATATCATAAAACATAATTAAATTATCACAGAAAATAGCATCGTTCATTTAGAATACATCACATACTAATGACGTCATGGCCATCACATATATTAGAGTCATCACATGCAAATGGCGTCATTGTTTCCCTAAGCAGTATATCCGAAGCAAAACATTAACTTGAGAGACCTAGCAAAAGCTATGATTTAAAATTCATGCAAGAAACTGATAAAGGTCGAATTTACAGAAACTGATAAAGGTCGAATTTACAGTAAACACTCGTGTTCTACATATTTGTTTCCGCACACAACACATTTCTATGGCAACAACGCATCAGGTTCTGTATTCCATAGCAACCAGTATTCTACTTTCATCCCTACCGTATATCTTCTCATCGTCGGTTAGTTGCGACCTTGACCGTGGCTAGTCACAATTCTTCACAAAACACCCACCTGTGGGATTCACCGTCTACAAGTTTTTGCTAATTACCTTAGGATGAATAATTAACATACAAAAGTACCTGTTGTTTGGTCTATCATATCGTCTACACAAAAACCCCCGCTTACCTTACGCCAGTCTATCCAGTTACCATGACAACGTACCAGGTAACTCTAATTATCCAGTTGATCACAAGTTCAGTGATCCACTCACTATATTATATAAACTTTTCTAACAATGAATTACCTCCCCCTTCCACCTACACACATTGACTCATCTTGTAAACCAGTTTGTCGAGTAACCAGTAACTCTAAGTTCGGTGATCCACTATATTATATAAACTATTCTATGTGTCGCCATAAATAACAATGAATTACCTCTTCCTTCCACCTAAACACATTCACTCATCTTGTATTTCTAAGTTCTAATTATTCGAAGATATGACATGCAGTTATTGGTGGTATGGATGAAATAATACACACCCAAAACAATATAAATGGTCACGTGCTTATAAATACACTAATCGAAACTACAACAGGCACGTGATTAGACCGGAAGTTCATCCCCAGCGCGATCTGAATCAACGTAATAAAACTTGAAAATGCCGATTATGATTTTTTTGTCGTTTTTTATCGATCTAAATGATTCTGGGCGTTTTATCTATCCAAATGTTTTTGGTTCAGTAACTGAGAGAGGCGTCAAAGTTTGAGATGCTGCGTGGGTGAGTCTTCATGGTAGAATAGTTAGTTGTTAGCGTACCGGGCAAGGAATAGGGTCGTTCATATAGAAACTCAGCATCTAGTTTATAGCCATTATGGAAGCTGCTACTGCCCTTGGAAATGCTGTATTTTATTTTAGCGACCATGTGTATTTTAGGGATGAAGATGACCGTTAACATGAGAGTGGCACACGAGACGATGGCCACACAGGCTGTAGGTTCCGAATAGTCTCGATCTTGTATCAGGAAGACGATGACCCAGGCTACCCACACAGGCACACACAACCAACAGCACCATAACAACAATCGTGCTTCTCCCATGTTTTTGGTCTCCTGTCTGACGCTGATGGCGTAAACAGCACTGGTGACGATCAGCATCATGACGTATGAATGATGCAGCACGAACTCCGCTTGGTCGAATACGCAGGCGTAAATAACGCCCACGTTACTCGTACTGGTAATGACTAACGGCGACCGTAACGTCCACCATTGAACGGCGATGGCTACTTGTACGCCCGTGATAAACAAGACGAACATATACTGATTTAAGTTCGAGACCTCCCCGCCCAATCCTAGCAGACGATAATCTCTCAACGATGTTAGTTTAACCAGAATTATAGCAAAGGAGAAAGCGTAGGCACACCCAGGCATGACGTAGCGCAACCCACACGTGGCTTCTGATGGTGTAATTACGAACGGCACGACCGATAAAAATAAAAGCATGACCCCCAATAGAAGCAGAATCCCCAAACCCACATACCGCCGAGCTAGCGTTCGGTTGCATACTTTGTGGACAACATAAACGGTCAAAATAAGAGAAACAAATGCCCCTGTGGTTGCGATTGCGACAAGTACAGTCGCCCACAACCTTCCGTTAAACACCCCTGTCGTTTTCCAGTAAATATATCTTGGTCCGTTGTCTGTTGGTGCTGCTGTGGTATTGGTAAAATGAATGGTATTTTCACACTGGCAGTTTTGACAACAGTAAGATGACGGGAAATACTTGAAGAACGAGCCTTGTAGAGTAATCACTCCATCTCGCCACACACCCACCTGGTAACAGAAAGCATAAATAAACAATAATTAAAATGAAATGAGGTTTGACCTATCCTACTGTTCTTTACCGGTTTTTAATTACCATTTTACGAAACGATTTTACGACATTTTGTTTTACGAAACGAATTCTTAATAATTCTTTTACGAAACGAAACGAATTTGTAAGTATCATTTCACAAAACCAGGTTTGAGCAATTCTTTTGCAAAACAAATTTTTAACCATTCTTTTACGAAACGAATTTCTCACTGTTCTTTTACGAAACGAACTTTTAATAATATTTTACGAAACGAATTTTTAACTACTCTTTTTAGAAATGAATTTTTAACTATTCTTTTACGAAATGAATTTGTAACTATTCTTTTCCCAAACGAATTGCTAACTACGAAATGATTCTTTTACGAAACAAATTTTTAACTTTTGTTTAACGAAATAAATTTTTAATATTTTTTAACTATTGTTTTAGGAAGTGAAATAGAATCCTGGTATTAAGCAGACTGGAATAATCTCAAACAAAGTTTTAAAATTTTAAAGAAATAAGTGATTAATATTTCACCTCAAATTGCTGATTAGAACTGTGCGTTTTTATCAGATATTTCTGAACAAGTTGGCCTTCCTCCACAAATTCAACCCTTTCGTCGCCATCTTGAAAATACACATCAACAACACTAGAGGGAATGGATGACATTCCAGAATTCACAAAGTTAGAACACACGCCAGGCATCAAGGGACATGACTGAAGGTACTGGGAGTGGATGGCATGCAATGCGACATCAACGGACCGGATGATTCTAGCTGCTTGGGGTGAAAATGGTCGATCTATGTAAGGTTGAACAGTAAAATCGCAATTAGATTCATCAGAGCCGTCCACTTCCGGTTGACGGCAGCCATATTTGAACGACCAATATGTCCGCCACCAGTCGTTCACTTCCGGTAGATTGATATTAAAGTTGGACATATAGTTTTCAAATCCAGAGTTCGATTTGCCTTGTTTATCTATGAGTATTGAACCCTGTGGAAGCTGGAGATCCGTTAAGTCATCCGAATTCCAATCATCACCAGTTATATCTATAATCCAAGGTCTAACGGTTGATCTCTGGTCACGTGATGTAAAGAACAGCTTCACACTCATCCTACTCGTCATCATGACTACCGCTTTAGCACTTGACTCAAGATACTGGGAAATCTCGACTATAGATTTTACACTGTTATCCAGAGCTAAGATCTTGCCAACACATACACCGCGGTTAGACGCTATCTTTAAAAACGTATCGGCGGCGCCTTTGTATTCGTCAGAATCCGTCGTCACCAAATAAATATAGGTCCAGTTTAACTTCAGTAATAAATCCACAATGGCCGCACTTTTAGGACCGTTTCCCGCGTCTCCGCTGATGATGCTTGCATCTGTTGGTGATTTATATGTGGTCACGACTAGTTTGTTCAAGTCTTTAATAGACTCGGCTACTGGGTCCATTGTGTGATTGTCACCATGAACAACGTAGCCGAGATTAGTTCGAGGTGACGGTGGAAGAGACCCAGTTTCATTAAATAGGATTCCACAACTTTCATAATTCCCGACCATCTGGATAGCTTTATATGGGTTGGAACAATAATCGAGGATAACAGCCCCTATTTTTACGTTATTTAATAAATAAGGGTATCGGGTCTGGGAACTTTCCACCGCGTACATGAAAGCTTCCACAGATTGACTTAAAAATGTGTCTTCTGACATCTCCCCACATTCAAACGATGACGTGCCTGTGACGTGTACAGGTAGAATACCTGTAATTAGGATATCTCCAGGTAAATAAAGTAGATCTTTGATTGTTGTTTGACCGTCTTTACAGGTGTAACATTTTGGACACCAAGCTGTACAGGTACTAGCTGATATATCTATCATAGTGTGCCTTGTAGTGTTTTCCAGAGATAAAGCTAGAGTTACCTCCCCTCCGATATCGATCGTTCCAATCTGAAATATAATAATTGATGCTACTCGATATACAGAATGTATATGAAATGGGCTCAACTTTTCTGCCCCGATTGGGCTAATGACGACGGTCGTACGCTATGATGGAAATTTTGCTAAATCAGCGTCGCTATGGCCTACTCCTATTTCGAATTCCAACAGTTAAGAGTTATTTTACGTGCAAGCCAACGTGTACACGAGACCTCAGTATTTTGTCCCATAGAAACGACTAGGCGCTGTCCTTTGCCAATATCCTCGTCCTGCGCCACTGACAAGAGTAAACCACACCAGAGATTACCACAAACCCGGAAATAATCGTGCCAAGAGTGGAGGTGCTTCCCTAACAACTCGAGTACCACAATTCCAGATATGCACAGGAGAAAGAGTTGTTGATGGATGACTCATACCTCCAGAGAGAGAGGGAGAAATGGGGTTTAACCTCCACTCGACATAAACTAGGTCATTTAACATATTTCATTTAGTAATTCGCTTGTGCGTAGGGGTCTTTAGCAGTGGTAGGGAACCAGAGCACCCCGAGACAACCCACGCGGTTGGACAGGCGACACTACTCCATGTCACGTACAACCAGGGATTCGAAACCACTCCAGTTAAATCTATGACAGATCTTATGATACAGCGCGCACGCGCTAACTCTTCGGCCATCCACCTACCCCCACCCCCGAGAAATAAAAGAGAGATAATAATTACCTGAACTGTATCCAGAAGATCATCCACCATTCTGTAATCATGGATCTCAAACGGCGACTCCATTCCAGATAACAACATCTCAAACGTTGATTCAAGGCGTGGCTTTAAATCTTGATAGTCAGAAAACTCTCCACAGACGCCATTTTGTTTTGTACAAAGCTCCCGATAGACGGCGTTGATGGTTGAAAGAAGCAGGTCAACCCCGACAATAACAGACGATTCCATTTCCTTACTTAAAGTAATATTGCTCTTGGAATCGAAATCCGGTAGCCATGGTATGACGTCATCGTTCAAAGTATCGTCGATGACGGTGATTGGCCAATTCTTGGGTCTAAGCAGCAGAGCATTTTCAAGGAATTCTGGTCGTTTGATGTCAATTAAAGCCTGGATGTTCCAGGGGAATATGAACAGTTTCTGTTTAGTGGCGGAGTTATTCAAGGATTGAATGGAATCTAATATTTTAGCAGTGTCGTCTGATGTGGTAAACAGAAGAGTACCGACGCCATCTTTGTTCAAAAGAGTCGTCTGGGGTAAATAGTCATCAACGCCAGGTCCTATTTCGATGACGTCAGCTATACATAAATCGCCAATGTTGGTACTGGTAATGAATTCTTTTACTAACTGTCGCAATGCCGTATTCGTCGAATGAATAATTTTAAAATAAGTCCATTTGATTTTATGTAAAACTTTGGTCAGTGCGTCGGAATAATGTTTATAAATGTGGCGTTCTAATCCAACTCCAAGAGATGAAACCGATGTAGACAGTTTGGGATTCGATTGTACTGTCACGTGATCAATATTCTCATGAAAATTAAAATACGCTGCAGTTCTCACAGGAGGTAGATTTACCCTTGAACCAGAGGCGTCTTGAAAATCGTATATACAGGATTCAATATCTGTGACTCGAACATCAGGGTTTGTGGAATGTGAACACGAATCGAAGACCACGCCTCCGATGGTTATGTTCTGGAGCGATATGGTATCATTATATCTGTTTTTAAAACTATCAATGGCCGACAGGAATGCGCGTGCTGCCTGGAGTCCAGGTGGATTGGGTGTTGCGCATGTAGTAACGGAAGTTGATGTGTATATTGGGAAGGTACCGACTATAAAGATATCAGCTGGTTGTAGAATGATTTGTTCATTAGATGTAAATTGAGCCGAACAAACTGAACACGTTAAACAATTCTCTTTACAATAACTGGTATACATGACCTCTGGTAAATGACCTTCAACTTTCACATTACCATAAAGCTGTGATAAATCAGCTGCTGTGTCAAAAACCTGAAAGAATAAAAAGAATGTCGATGTCAAGTTTCATTAAATACAAAGTCAATGAGCAGAGCCCTTTCTTTAATGTCGTGGACCTTCTTCCGGCACCAGCCAGAGATTACGTGTTCGGGGGGGGGGGGTTATAAATCCCACAGTTTCCATCTTTCCAGATATAAAATGTTAATGACAGGTATAGAGATTGTTAATGTCCTGACATGACCATGACAGGTATATATAATTTGTTAATGTCCTGACATGACAGGTATAGAGATTGTTAATGTCCTGACATGACCATGACAGGTATATATAATTTGTTAATGTCCTGTCTTGACAGGTATAAAGCTTGTACTCTCGCCCTTTTTTTCATATTTAAGAAGTCCACGGGCTACTGTCTCGAATTTAGATAATTGTAATGGCCTGTTGACTATGGTTGCCCCTTTAGAATCTATAACTTTCAGTATTTTGGGGTCCTACTTACCACCGACAAGATGTCTTATAGACATACAAATTATATAAATCATATCCGAAATTTAAACGACAAACTTGTGGATAATTGCCAAAAGTGACGGATAAGGAAGGAGATGTTTTCGAAATGTACATTCTACACCAATCTCGGCTCCCAGAGATCAGTGTACCCTTTGTTTATTTCTGGTAAAACTCGCCGGCCATTTTGAATATCACGTGACGTATCCTTCCGTCGGTCGCTTCACAAAGATCCAAGATGGCGGCTCAAACTCTACACATCATATTTAAAATTTGAATGATTACATAAAGAAATAGAACAAAGTATGGATAATTGAAATATCAGTAAAAATCGTCTTGCTATTTTGTCATTAACGCCCAAAGTATTACAAAATGTGATCAACCCAGGTAAGATACTACAGGTGAGATACTACAGGTAAGATACTACAGGTAAGGTATATTATAGATATACAGATTCTACACATCATATCCAAAATTTAAATAAATTCATAAAAATTGAAAAATTATGGATAATGAAAATTTTGATACAAAGTTTTTTACTACTCATCGACAAGAACAGACAAGTTTGGGTTTTTTTCTAAATATTTCACTTACCAATAATTTTGTCAAATTTTATGAAATCTTTTAAAAATTGGATAAGGTATGTAGATTGTGGATATCTACAACATATTGTCTGTCAATTTTTGCAATACTTTGGATGCTATTGACCAAAATAGGCTCTTGTCGGTTCTTCTCGGTGATTAATTAGGCCGGTATTAGAATTTTACTAACCTTTTCAACTCGGCCATTTGATAATGATACCAATTCTAAATATGGTTTCCATTCTTCGGACTGTCCACCATTACGATGATATTGTAATAGATCCCGTATAGAAATGGGCAGACAACTCTTTATATCGCGTGTACAATTTGTCGTTACCAAGGTTACAAGTGATTTAAACATGGTGGACACTGAATCTGACGTAGCATGCAAACTACGTGACGTCATAGAAGGTAAAGCGCACATCTCTGGCGTCATATTAACGCTGGCAGTAATATTGACGTCACATTCGAAATCGGATAAAAACATGTCTGCCCCATATGATGAATTATTCAAACGTGATTGCTGCTGAGCTATAAAATCGGAGAGTTGCTGAATTTCTGTAAAATGTTCCACTAATATGATTAAATCTTTACTGAATAACGTTTGACTTAGATCTACATTTGAGATGCCACCAACGATTAAAACTTTATTGAAGAAACTTTTATCGACGTCGGTGAACATGCGCCGTGTCAGTACATCTCCCGTAAATAATACAATTCCTTTAGGCACGGATTCAGGCAACTGTAGGGTATCCAGGGAATCTGGGTTTAAAATCTGACGATGGTGTACACAGACTTTGGTAGGTTTTAAGAGCTGGAGGAAGTAATCTTGTTCAGAAATGGCCCCTGTGTTGTTGAGTGTGATGACGTCCACATACGTCCAGTTTAAAACACCTAAAGCATCGACTGCTGCCTGTTGAAAAAAACATAAAATATACTCTCATTTGCCTTAAAGCGGGGTGTGGGAGTTGGATGGCCGAATGGTTAGCGTGTGCGCGTTGTATCATGAGGTCTGTCATTGAGTCAACTGGCGTGGTTTCGATTCACCGCTTGAACGTGACAATGAGTAGGGTCGCCTGTCCAACCTCGTGAGTTTTCTCCGGGTCCTCCGATTTCCTCCCACAGCTAAACACCACTACGTGCAAGAGAATTATTAAAAGAAAATTGAAACAGGTTACTCCCGAAATAGCCTAGTTTGCGTCTAGTGGACGTTAAACCAATTTATCTCTCTCTCCCTCTCTCTCTCTCTCTCTCTCTCTCGCTCTCTACATATGTGACTTAGGGGAATAATGCCTTTGACAGCGCCATGAATGCTTGCATTTTCGTCTTCAATTGCCAAGCTTTCATTAGCTACACGCCAATGGTTACATGCGTGAATCGCGATGTTTCGCCCTAACCGAGCGACTGGGCACAATTTCCTTGGCAGCCTCACTGGTGCCACTATCGATTACCGCGCTTGATAAATCTCGGCGTTTTACATTTTTTTTGAAAACTAAACTCGTGCATGTTAGAAATTATAAAATGACTCGATGATGGAATAAAATAAATTATCAAGAATCTTAAACTCCTAATTTTGACCTTCATAAAATACCATATTATTATTCATTTTATAAATAATGGCTATCCAAAATCAAAATATTTTATTGTCTAAAATCCACTGAGAACCAGTTTGGATATTTCATCATTTTAAAATTGAGTAATTACGTCATGATGACCTACCTCGACTCTCCTTTCTGAGGCTAATGATACCGTCATTCGATTGTCAAAAACGTCATCAATATTTGTCATGACGTCAGGTGTAAACTTTACGTGAGGTACATACAGATGACGTAACATCTCAGAAATGACGTTAGTTGGCTCTTTTCCAGTATAGCTAATCACACCTACAATAGAAATACAAACATGGTCATATACAGATTGGTTTGATAGAGGTTTCAGTTTTCTCTTCCTCGTATAGCAAGGGGTTTACTGACAATAATGGCTAACGAGAATGACGCTTTGTACACTAAAGTAGTCTGTGCACGGTCTATTGCTGCTAAAGATGGGTGATATATAAAGTTTCCAATTGGCAACATAATGGTGGATTCATATGAAAAGTTTCCCTATTGCTAAGAGAGGGGGGTAATATGAACAGTTTCCTTTATTGCCGAGAGAGAGGGGGGTGATATGAAAAGTTTCCCTATTGCTAAGAGAGGGGGGTAATATGAACTGTTTCCTCTATTGCCGAGAGAGAGGGGGATGATATGAAAATTTTCCCGAAAGAATTGGGAATTAATAAGAAACGTTTCCTATTGCTGAAAACAGGGGGAGGGAAGGGTGTGGGAATCTGAAAGGTTTCGCTATTGCAGAAAGATGGGGGGGGGGTAGCGGTATGAAAATTGATCCTATTTTTGATAGAGAGGGGGATTCATATAAAAAGTTTCCTTTTTGCTGAAAGAAAGGTGTAGGTAGTTATATGAAATCTTCCCAAATGCTAAAAGAAGATGGTGGTGGTGGGGGGGGGGTAGTATATTAGTATATGACATGTTCCTTATTGTTGAAAGGTATGGGGGAGGGGGAGGGGGGATATTAAAGTTTCCCTATTGATCTCAAACAGAAAGATGAATTTAAATAATCTCCATTTTGTTTTCAGATCCCAGAGTTATATATTTTATATTATGTAAATATTTATTGAATATATAGTTTTAAACAGACAAGTAAAAAAGAAAAGAAAATATCCGTATCATACCTCCTAGTCTACTGTTGTTGTTGTTGATATATTCACTCAAGATTTCTATCGCTTTTTTATCAGAACCACATAAATCATAAACTCTTAAACCTGAAACACAATCATAAATCATAAACAGTTAAACCTGAAACACAATCATAAATCATAAACCCTTAAACCTGAAACACAATCATAAATCATAAACACTTAAACACAACACTTAAACCTGAAACACAATCATAAATCATAAACACTTAAACCTGAAACACAATCATAAATCATAAACACTTAAACCTGAAACACAATCATAAATCATAAACACTTAAACCTGAAACACAATCATAAATCATAAATACTTAAACCTGAAACAAAATCACAAGTTGAAACATATAATATAATTCAATGGGATTACAAACAGGGCTAACATTCGGGCAATCTGGCTTTTCGGGTAGACGGGTAAAGTGAAAACAAAAATTATTATTTCATCTAGTTGGCAGAATAAAGTGCCCGAAATCTAATAAAACACTAATTTTATTCTTCTTTTAATTGAATACCACGAATTTGCACTGAATTGACCATGTATAAAAGAAGCTAAATCGCTAATATTTTGGATCTAGAAATTGACAGAAATGGGTAGCAACGCATATAATAAGGTAATATGAATGTATATAAACTGATTTACATTCCATCGTTTCTGTTTTTACTGTAATTTCTAATCAGTTATGTTCGGCGAAATACGCGATGAGTTCAAATTGAATGACAGTCTTTGGCGTCTGGTTATTCCAGTGTACACCGGTAGTATTCTTATATTGACTATGTTTAGCTTTGTTCATCGAGTCACTTCGTTACAAATGGATTTCAAAAGCATTCTGGCACGCGATCCGTGTGCCAATTTTAACATTTTCGATTTGTCTTAAATATTGCGTATCAGAAGCCAATTCCTCTGACGGTAAGATAACAACATCAATGTTGATTTAAATTGACAAACAATTCGTGTTTTTAATGTCGAAGACTTTGGGTGATATTGAGTTAAAGACTTTAAAACATTTTATCTGGAGTCACTCTACTGTGTGCGACATTTGTCGGACATTGATTATTATTTGTGAATGCTGTTGCATCAGTCTGATTGAATGGTTGGAATTCAGGTCGGCATCAAATGGGATTTTGCTTGCAAAACCATTGGACAACTTTGGGGTAGATTAATTCACGGGCTAGAATAGCAGAAAACCGCATTTGCAGTGGTTAAATTTTCAAAATGTTCTCCGGGAGGGCGACGATTAGTTGGTTGTGTGGGATTCAGGTAGGCTATATTAGACCACATTGAAGTTGTTGTATTTACGGACTGGAATAGCAGGAATCCGAAATTTTTTGGCGCATTTCAGGTTCTGCGCTACCCGCCCCCCCCCCACACACACACAAAGTCATCGAGCCCGTACGCCTACGGGCATACGCCATACAGTGTGCTACATGTATGAGGGAAATTGTGCCCGGGCAGTAGCTCTTCGACATATTCTTGTGTCGAATTCCATCTGCCAAAGGATCTTTTACGTGCACGCCAATGTATAAACAGGATCTTGGTTTTTTGTCCCATCCGAACGACTATACATTGTCACTTGTCAGGCTCTCTGTTTTGCACAACTAACAACGGGGAACCACGCCAGAAAATCCCAATGAATTTTCTCCGCCAACATAATAGAAATTTCAACTCTTATAGTCAATAAAAATGTTAAATTCATCAAATTAAAAAGTTTTCTAGAATGAATTCCTTGGTTTTAATTTTCACGGTAACAATTTAAAATGGCTTTTCCAATCGAGAAAGGGTGGTTGGATGGCCGAATGGTTAGCACGCGCGCGCTGTATCATAAGGCCTGTCATTGAGTCAACAGGCGTGGTTTCAAATCCCCGGTTGTACGTGACAAGGTGTAGGCTCGCCTGTCTAACCACGTGGGTTTTCTCCGGGTCCTCCGGTTTCCTCCCACTGCTAAAGACCCCTACGCGCAAGCGAATAATGAAATAAAAACCTCATTTCTCTCTCTCTCTCTCTCTCTCTCTCTCTCTCTCTATCTCCAATCGAGGAATAAATTCATTTTAAAAGTTAGTTTTTATGGGTGTGGATGTATTGAGAAACAAACTGTGAACTGTTACGCTATGTTGATCGAATGTTTTAACGGTAAACAGACTGATTGCTAATCGTTGATGTAATAAATACTCGTCGCTACCCCCATACCACCTGATCAACAACACCAACAAAGACCTCTAGTATAACATTAAACACAGATCTCAATTCACACACAATTCACTTTAAAATATTTAAATTATGTCGTCCCCGTTCTGTGTGTGTTCATCCTGCGTTGTTGGTTTATTTCGTCAACTAATCGAATCTATTGAGTTGATTTTGGGGAGATTCAACAAAACGGGCAAACTCAGTCGGTTAAGTGAGAGAGAGAAGGAAATGAAATAAAATGGGGTTCAACGTCCTACTGTTCTGCTCCGACTGGGAATGTGCTATGAGGGCAATTGATGCCGTTGGTTCAGCCAGTCAGGCCTCTATGGGTAATTCGTGACTACGTGAGTCACAAAAATAAAATGAAATGGGTTTAACGTACTATTGTTCTGCTCCGACTGGGCTAATGAAGACGGGCATACGCCATGCAGGGTACTTTGAGGGAAAGTGTGTCCGGGCAGTGGCACTATGGCCTACTCTTATATCGAATTCCACCCGCCATGGGATCTTTTACGTGAACGCCAATGTATACACGGGACCTCGATTTTTCGTCCCAGCCAAACGACTAGACAGTTGTCCTTGTCAGGTCCTCTGTCCTGCACCACTGACAAGGGGAAACCACGTCGGAAAATCCCGATGGACTTTCTCGGCCAGTGCATGGATCGAACACGCGACCTCCAGGCTAGCGAGCCAGCGTCTTATAGTATACACTTTGCCCGTAGGCCCCCAGAATCTTGTGGCGCTTGGGTTCAGCCAGCCAGGAGCCTGTTTCACGAAATTTTAACTAAGATAAAATCCAAATTTTAGTAATTTGATTGGATAATATTAGATTGCTTTTAGTGCTTAGCCAATCAAAATTGAAGTATCTATTAAATTTGGATTTTATCTTTAGTTAAGATTTCGAGAAACATGGCCCGGGGCTCTATCCGGGACCGTGTGAGTCACAGTGAATTGGAACTAGGACAAGCAGTGTGGGAAGAGTTATTGTAACTTGTTTATTGTAAACATACATATATTGACAATGATCACTAACCAATCAAAATAAACAATAAATATTGATTCTAGTTGCCATGGTAAACAATATCACATAGCCACCATATTTTATCAACATTCCTTTTCTCGTTTCAACAAAAATTGCCAAAATTTGTGTATCAACAAACTGCTCACCTGACCAACTTGTCGTGAATTTTAAGATTTCATGAAGACAAACAAAACTCTCACATTCGGGTTGGATTCAAATACTTCAGTCATATGTTCATTCATTCATTCATTCATTCATTCAGTTCGTTCGTTCGTTCGTTCGTTCATTCATTCATTAATTCGTTAGTTCGTTCGTTCGTTGTTCTTTCATTCATTCATTCGTTCATTCGTTCGTTCGTTCATTCATTGTGTTAACACATTTGATACCAAGACGGCGTATCTGACCTTCCTACTGGCCCCTTCTCATACAAGGTCTGACTCCCCCTCCCCCATCCAACCCCTGCACTGGCCCCTTCTGGAAACATAATGGCCAACACGGGGCTTTTGTTATAGAGCCAGTTGGCAAGACCCTAGCATAGGTCCACCAAACACACGGAAGCTTTAAATCGAGGTACAGTCGCGATAACTCCACAAATAGGGGGAAAAAAGAAGATATTTCAAAATATTATGAATAACCGAGCCTAAAACATACCCCTCATACCATATGTTACGCGTAATCTAGAAAGTGGACCTTTATGTCCATCGGATGGAGGTCATAAATTTACTGAATGTTAAAAACGGGTTGTCCTTTACCTCCTTAAAGGCCATTTATTTGGTTAATATCCCCATCTAGGCGTTCATAATATTGGAACGGGTGGAACTTTGATATTATCCGAAAAATTCAACTGACAATATCAGCGACGTTAAACAACACTCACAACCGACATTGCAATAAAAAAACAATAACAGACAGAAACATATCCCAAACAAAAAATCGAGAATTTAATTGTGAGTTGTCTATAATGCTACATTGTACTGGGATCGATTTTACTAATAATTTAATTGGACCGTTTTAATGACATGATTTAGAGTGTAGAAATTAGATAAACAATGAAACCAGATGAACTCCATGGAAACTCAACAATGTAAATATATCTAGCGATTGAATAGTTAGTTGATTGTTTTGTTGGGTAACAAACGGTCTATTATTGTAGGACTGGTAGCCAGATTTACAATAATCAAGAAACATGACGCCATCTATTTTGAAATCAAATGACAATGACGTCTTTAAATTTAAATGTTTGATTTATTAATGAAGGTGTGTGGGGGGGGGGGGATACCGCGTGCGCTTTTAATCATGTTTTATACCTTGGGTTGGATGGCCAGGTGGTCTAACGCGTGCGCTATAGAGATCATAAGGTTTTTTTATTGATGATTGAGTTAAGTGGCGTGGGTTCGATCCCACTTTTATACCTCACATAGTCGATCAATACCTACATTAGTATCATACTCAGTTTGGGAAATATTCTCTTTTGTCTTGGGTCGCGTTGGATCAGAAGGTCTGCCATTGGGTGAAGTTTGTGTCGAGTGGACGTTAAACCCAACTTATTCTCTCCGAAATGAAGTGGGGTTTAACTTCCTACACCGGTAGAAAAAATGAATATTTTTAATTTTGGTTTAAAGGAGACAAGTAGCTAACTCAATATCATCCACAAGCGAATTATTGAAATATAATTGAACCGTGTGTTAGACCCGAAAAGGCCTAGTTTGGGTCTAGTGGACGTTAAACCCCACCTCTCTCTCTCTCTCCGTCTCTCTCTCTCTCTCTCTCTGTCTCTGTCAGGGGTACAGGGGCCTGATGAGCCGTGTACACATTGGCGTGCACGTAAAAGAACCCTTGGCAGTTGGAATTCGATATAAGACTGGGCCGTACTGCAGCTGCCGGGGCAAAATATCTCTCATAGCACATTGTATGGCGTATGCCCGTCTCAGTCGGAGCAGAACAATGGGATGTTAAACGCCATTTCTAACGATTGAAAAGAAGTAGTAAAAACCCAAACATTATAAATATCATTCATGATTTTCTCCCAGATAATTTTGTTTGTTTTGTTTCACTAAAAATTGTAAACCTCCATATCTAAAATTCTCTTTTAAGTCTTTTCTCGGCTTTCTCACTTAATGTTTGAACGACTTGAGTCGACTTTAAGCCAATATTTTTTCGTGTATTTAAGGTTTTTAGATGATTTTCTGTATCGACATTTTGTTAGAATCTTGGCGTCTCCTCTAGTTGAAAGAGTTTTACAGGCCATGAGATTAGCCGACAAATTCTTGTAAATCAACATTTAAAAGATCAATAACTGTTAAGCATTTTGGAGACACCAGTTCTGATCCTATAAACTAACATTGTGGTTACTTTCATTTCAAAGGTGAGAATTTTGCCAGGACAGTGGAGATTCCACTCAATTGTCTGTGAAATCCGATTGCTAATTGTTGTTTTGTGTGCGTACCAATTTGTTTAATTTGAGATTCGCGTGCCAGTGGTCCAGGACGGGGGGCCTGACAATGACAGCTGTCTAGTCATTCGGATGGAACAAAAAACGAGGTCCCGTGTATATATTGTGTGCACGTAAACGATCCCTTGGCAGTTGGAATTCGTTATAAGAGTAGGCCGTAGTGCCGCTGCCCGGGCAAGATTTCCTTCATAGCCAGTGGTGCAGGACGGAGGGCATGACAATGAAAGCTATCTAGTCGTTGGGATGGGACAAAAACTGAGGTACCGTGCATACATTGGTGTGCACGTAAAACATCCCTTGGCACTTGGAACTCGATATAAGATTAGGCCGTAGCGCCGCTGCCCGGGCAAGATTTCCCTAATAGCACACTGTATGGTGTGTGCCCGTCTTCATTAGCCCAGTCGGATCAGAACAGTAGGACGTTAGACCATAGTTCATTTCAATTTGAGACTAAGCTATGCTCACGTTTATGCTATTGATTATGTATGCCACGTGGGGGGGGGGGGGGCTTGCACAGGTATTGGATCTTGGAAATCAAACTGTCAAGGTTTGTTTACCTGTAGATCAATATATTTATGAGTGGAACTCGTGTTGTTGCCCCAGCCGAATGACTGGGCACATTTCCTATGTCGCCTCCATGTGCGCTACCCTTGAATCCTGTTAAGAGAGCAACCTGCTTGTAAATAATGGTACATGACGCTAGTTTATAAAATATCCCGGTAACCAACTGAATGAATTAAAATCCATGCACGAACTAGTTAAAATAACATTTGTGACGGATTAAAATCCCTTACAACTAATCACATACACATGAAAGTATGTTAGAAAAAACAAACCATCTCAAAAATTTAACTAGCTAAATAGCTAATCAGAACAACCTTTAATATCTAATCAGAACACAATGAACTAGTTAAACTAATCACACTAATTACGGATTACACGCACATAAAAGTATGTTTGAAAATAAGTATATTTAATAGCTAATCCAAATAACTTTTAATAGCTAACCAGAACAATCTTACACCAAATCCGAACAATCTTACAGCTAACTCGAACAAGCTTATCAGAACAACTTTTAATAGCTAATCAGAACTACTTTTAATAGCTAATCTGGGCCCTTATTCACGAAAACTTAAACTAAGATACAATCGAAATTTTAAGAAATACTGCAATTCGATTGGCTGACCAATATGCAAATTGGATATATGCAAATTGATTTTACTGGTCAACCAATCGAATTGCAGTATTTCTTAAAATTTCGATTGTATCTTAGTTTAAGTTTTCGTGAATAAGGGCCCAGAACAATTTCTAAAAGATAATTAGAACAATTTTTAATAGCTAATCAGAACAACTTTTAAAAGCTACTGCCATCAAAGAAGCAGACATACGTGTTGGATTTAAACCCAGCTCATTCTGAACACAGAGAATCATCTACTTCATACTTCGAGAATAGATCTCTATCCTAAATGGCCGCCATATCTAACAATTAGTTTATTATTTTGTAATAAGGTTCTACCCCGTTTCACACCTGGCACACACACAAAGACTAAATAAACCTATTCAATTCCATTAAATGGAAGCTTAACAAATTCTTCTCAAACTTCTCGAAGTATTCTTAGTGTTTTCGACTAAAATCGTCGATATAGGACTTAAAATGTCGGTCAACTAGCTGAGTGTCTGTTCTTCAGCGAAGCTAACTGTACACAGGCAGCCTAAGTTTAGTATGAACCTAGCTATGGCCATATTTCACCACTTTTTAAAATAGAAATAAAAACATAACTAACCTATGGATGTAATCGGCGATGTTTTATTTAATTCCTGCCATTTCCACAAAGCTGTGTAGGCCATTTCCATTGTTCCTTTGTTGAAATCCTGACATTTTCCTTCCATCTGACGTTCGTGTATATCAAACAAACACACTATATCTATGTCACCATCTTGTTGAAATATTGGTGTAGGAGGGAGGGCAAAGGAACAGCCACAGGTAGCAAGAACCATATATAATACTATTCCTGGCATTTTGTAGAAAATCAATGACGTCATTTTATTGTATCATCATGGGATTATTCTATAGGCCTTCGTTAAACCTGAAAAGAAAAACCATGAAGTAAATATTTGAAAGATTAAAACATCTTTTGGGCTGCAAATTATTTAATATAAATGTTTGAATTGTGACCACACTTGTATGTGACAAAGAGTAGGGTCGTCTGTCCAACATCATCGGTTTTATCCGGTTTCGTCCCACTGCTAAAGACCCTTTATAAATATTAAACCATCGGCTAATCCCAAAATGTCCTTCATCGTGTCGAGTGGACGTTAACGCCATCACACCCTCCCTCTCTCCCTCTCTCTCTCTCATGTCTCATGTCGGCACATTGTGCGCACACAGAAAACTATCTACCCTACCTTGAGAATAGATCTCTGCCCTAAATGTCCGCCATAGTATACTAGTATACTGTTTTGTAATGCGTTTCTACCCGGTTTCAAATTATTATGTTATACACACAGAGACTAATTAAATCTTTTCAATTTAATTAAATAGAAACAGAATAAATAATTCTCAAAATTCTCAAAATATACTTAAAGTTGTCTACTAAAATCGTCGATTTAGGACTTAAAATGTCGGTCAAGTAGCTTAGTGTCTGTTCTCAAGCGGAGCTAACTGTAGACAGACAGCACAAGTTTAGTATGATTACGGTATAGTAACCCATCCAAATATTGTGAGAGATTAATCTCCAATAAGAATACCAATCCATAAATGGTTTAATTCAGTTAAAGATACATTATGGGAGATTGGATAAAGAGCTGACAGTTCTCACTATAATAGTTAAAAACTAGAGTGTACAGGGAATTTGCTCACAATTTCGGTCAAATTGATCAACTATGAACCGAGAATTTAGCGATTGAATTTTGGGCCTAGCCTCGATCATCATTACTAAAGTCGCTACGATAAGAAACATAGTCTCGATTATCCATTTTTTGTTTTAGTCACCAATGAGCGTTGAGCACAGATCAGTTTCTAATACAGTAAATCGGCTCACAATCCACTTAGGATCGCAGGCTAGCGATGCCATCTAGAGTTGATTATGGTCTGGATAAGTTAATTAATATCTAATTAAACATACATTATACAAGAGCTAAACCTGCCTATTGCAGGTCTTTCTTTAGGCCTGAAATGTTATCTAAATTATTAATAAGACATTAATTAACCTATCCAGACCATAATCAACTCTCGATGGCATCGCTAGCCTGCGATCTTAAGTGGATTGTGAGCCAATTTACTGCATAACTTTCCTTCTCGATTAAACGATTAAATAGATAATCGAGACTATGCTGTTTATCGTACTGACTTTAGTAATGGTGACCGAGGCTAGGCAGAAATTTCATTCGCTTAGTTTTCGGTTCATAGTGGATCAATTTGAATGAAATTTTCAGCAAATTGCCTTTACGTTATCTAGTTTTTAACTATTATAGTGAGAACTGCCAACTCGTTATCGAATCTCCCATAATGTATCTTTAATGTCTAATCAATAATTTATATAACATTTCAGGCCCAAAGAAAGACATGCAATTGGCAGATTGAGCTCTTGCATAATGTCTGTTTAATATTATGTTGAACTGAAACTGATAACGATCTGTCCTACTCGCTGTGTAATAAGCCTTTTTGTTGTTTGGGAACCGAATTGATAGGCCTATTTTTAAATCCCACTGATTCCAGGCCGGGAGATCTACTGTTGGTATTTGGATTTGGTTTTCTTAATTAAATATTAAAAAATCAATCCGCGTACATATGAGCGCGGATTAAGCCGTGAGAATTTTGATATTTTAGCGAAAAATGCTTGTGACGCACGATGTTCAATACGATAGCCGTGCTGAAAGACTACAATCTCAAACTTTTGATATATTTGAAATCATTAATTCCTCAAAAGTATTGTGTGTGGCAAGTCGCCCAAATTTGTGCAGCCATATTATTTATTCTGTTCACTGAGAAGTCTACCAAAAGAGAGAGAGAGAGAGAGAGAGAGAGAGAGAGAGAGAGAAAGGGGGAGGGGTCTTTAGCAGTGGGAGGAAACCGGAGTACCAGGAGAAAACCCACGAGGTTGGACAGGCGACCCTACTCCTTGTCACGTACAACCGGGTAATCGAAACCACGCCAGTTGACACAATGACAGACCTTATGATACACCGCACACGCGCTAACCATTCTGTCATCGATGAGTTCGTTTTGCCAAATTGCCATAACTGCCAATTGCCAAAAATACGTCATTTTGCTCGGAATTTAAGATTTCGTTAAAAATCAGAAATGTGCTTTCTGATTTACTGGAAAGAAATAAAATTTATTAAATCTACCTTTCTGAAAATATAATTATTACTGGCTTTATTCCATTGTCCCTTTTGGACCTCTCCGTCACTTCCTGTCCGATGAGTGCGCATAAGCTTATTTATAGTGCAGGAGATTTGCATAGAAAATATGTAATCCAAGATCATTTTACGCAGAAGGCAACACATTTTACGTGGAAATTTGTCAAATTGGGCGAAACTTTCGAATTCCACGAGTTTAGGCATATGGTAAACTGGCTTAAATCTTTTTCACACTTGAGGGGAATGCCTGGATATTCGAAGTGCATTTTAAAAATTCTGACTGCATTCTGAGTGCATTCCAAATATTGGATATATGCAAATTGATTTTACTGGTCAGCCAATCGAATTGCAGTATTTCTTAAAATTTCGATTGTATCTTAGTTTAAGTTTTCGTGAATAAGGGCCCCGATTTTTAGCGAAACCTCGCAATTTGTCAGTTTGGCGGTTCTGGCAAATGGGCAAAACGAACCCACCGACCGGGACGTGCCAGGTTCGATCCCGATGTTAGCCGAGAAAGGTTTCCAACCCTGGTTTCGAACATTAGTTTATAACCTTAACTGATCACGAGTGCGAAAATATGGGGTGTCTGAAAGTCATGCTCCTTCTAATTTGAAGTAATATGGTATGAAAGTTTTACATGTTACATGTATAAGACAATGTGGAATTGTCAGCCCGGTTCGCCCACACAACATTTACTCATTCATAGAAATCTACTCAAACATGTATTTTTACACAGGTCGTGTGAATAATTAAAGCACCTATGTAATTTCCCATGATGCTTAGCTTGGTTGGCTTTAGAACCATCAATGAGTTTTCTAGGCTTCTGCGGTGGTTTCAATTCCCCGGTTGTACGTGACAAGGCGTAGGGTCACCTTTTCAACCGCCGGTTTCCTCCCACTGCTAAAGACCCGGGAGTTGGATGGCCGAATAGTTAGCACGGTCTGCCATTGAGTCAAAACTGCCGTGGTTTCTATTCCCCGGATGTACGTGCCAAGGAGTAGGGTCGCCTGACCAACCTCGTGGTTTTTCTCCGGGTCCTCCGGTTTTCCCCCACTGCTAAAGACCCCTACGCGCAAGTGAATTATTGAAATTAAATTGAACCATATTATGTTAGTCCCGAAATGACCTAGTTTGTGTCTACTGGACGTTAACAACCCCCCCCCCCTCTCACTCTCTGCACCACTGACAAGGGGCAACCACACCGGAAAATTCCGGAGGAATTTTTTCGGCCAACACCGACTCTTCAATTACAGTTGACAAAAGATTCAAATACTTTTAAAAGTATCTAAGACTATACATTTTTAATGGCGGGGGCGCAATTTTACGTGCACATTAATTCCCTTTGTTCCTGACTTGTAAAACTTAGAGAGAGTCGTGTCTGGAAGGTCTTCTAACAAAAATGTATAACTAATTCTTACATTTCAAAACTTAAAATCAACAATGAGGAAACATTTTCTTTTTTTTAACTTTTAAAGTTTTACTATTTTCTTAATCACAAGATCAGCCATTGAAAGAACAAACAAAGCCAGTAGAATTGATAGCAAAGACAGTGGAGGCTAAAATCTATAGTTTGTTTGAGTTCAATTCGTGTTCCGTACAAAAACTGATTTGTGTAGAAATATTTGATCAACACAAACTTGATTGATTCAACTACCCACCGTCATGTTATATCGTACTTTATATTGTGTGTTTAAAGGGGGCCACAGTTGCTTAGTGGGTTAACGCGCCTGCTCACTAACGAGGGGGTGTTGGGTTCGAGAAAGTTCGGTGATAGGTCTACAGGAAGGAATAACGTTTAGTCGTACGGGTTGGACGAAAAATCGAGTTGCTGTTTACAAATGGCGTACACGTAAAAGACCCTCGATGCAAATTGGTTGAAAACGCCACTGTATGTGCAAAATTCTCCTGTAACACACTGTATGACGTATATCTGTGCAAAATTCCCCCATAACCCACTGTTCGTCTTCAATGCTCCAGAACAGTAAGACTCCCCTTGTTTGACCTTTCGTGTTTGTGAAATAATCGCCCATTCCCCAAAAGTCAATAAAAAAAATTTGTGCAGGTGTATCAATATTATATTTGACGTTGCACATATGTAATTAGTCTCTATTAGAAACTTCAAAATAAAGCAGTCCGGATCATAACCAAGACGAAACCAAATGAGCATATGACACCAATTCTGGTGGCTTCCAGTCCGTCAACGTATCAGTTTTAAAATATTTTCTATTGCGTATTCTGCTCTAAATGACGATTCTTCACCAATATATCTTAGAGACCTTCTCGACAAAAATAAACCTTGCAGAACCCTTCCATCACAATCAGAAAACCTCTTAATTAAGCCTTTTTCAAAAACCAACTCCGGTGATAGATCTTTCGCCGTCGGTGCTCCAAAGTTATGTAATTCAATATCAAACGAAACCAAAAGCGCAAATTATATTAAAGGTTTTAAAAAGTATGTCAAAACCGAACTTTTTAATCAAATATACAACTGGTTGAATACGGTTCTAGCTGTGTTTGTGTCTAACTTTTACCATGCGTACTAAATAATGTTCTCTGTTTTTTGTTTGTCTTTTTTTATGGATTAATGTGTTGTGATTGTGGTAATTTTATATTAGTTGTACTTATGTAAAGCTCTCGAGAGCAGCTCGCTGAGTTGAATTGTTTGCGCTATATAAATCAGTTATTATTATTATTATTACACAAAGTTCTATACCCATGGCTAGATTTACCAATAGGCATAGTAGTCCATTGGGCTAGGACCCATAGGTATATAGGGGTCAACTGATATTAATCTGTCGCACAGCCTATAACCTTAACTTTAAAATATGATCTTTAACTTATCGATCTATTGACAAATCTGCTCCAGGTTAACTTCAAATTCTAGTATTATTGTATCATTCTTACGATCAGAAGGGAAATTGTTATTGGATGTACCTACCTCTAATTTGAAATCATTTGGATCCAGAACTTTTTGATACGGTGCATCATTTGTGTGAAATACACTTTCAGGAAATATCCGACAATATGATTATGTGTCAGTTTTCAAATCCAAAATGAAAACTTGGTTATTTATTTACAATCCATAGTGAGAACATTTTCTCTAACATTTGAAGAGTCCAGGGGAAGAACAATCTAAGTCACATTTTTGTCTTTTCACATAAAAGGCAAAACAGACTTTTGGACGAGAATCCTTGACGTGAACAGAACAACGAGTGGGTTTACTTACAACTTCAAAATGATGTTTAATACAAATCATAATTACCAGTACAACAACTGACTTCCACTTTTCAGCCAAATTAAGGTCAAATAAAGTGTATTGATGGACGTATTTGTCCGGGAGGCCATGCATTTCAGAAGGGCCTTGGTTCGATGTGACTCCGATCGTTTTTACCTGAAATTGATTGTTCCACAGAAAGCTTATACAATTTGTTACCAGATGGCGCCATTAACTGGGGTTCGTTGAAAAGGTGACTTTGATCGTTCTTCCCTGGGGTTCTTCAATTCCATTATATAATATTTTTGTAAGCATAAAACCCCTTGTACATTAAGTATATGCCCCAGGCACGATTTCTATTTAGGGGTCGACAGATGAGCCCACGCCCCTGACATAGGTCAACAGGGATCTGTCTCTAGTCCGTCTACAATTACTATCATAATTCACCTACACTGTTCTATTTAAACATACATTATGCCGTCTTATGTGTTCGATTTTACTGGATTTGAATCCGATCTGCTGCTCAGCGTTCATTGATAATTAAATGCAAAAATGGATAACCGAGACTATGTTTTTTATTGTACCGCTTAAGTAATGATGATCGAGGCTATGTCTAAGATTCAATCGCTAATATCTCGGTTCAGAGTGGAGCAATTTGAATGAAATATTGAGAACTGTCAACTCTTTATCTAATCTTCCATAACTCCCCTTTAATTAGTTTCGTGGTGTACACGCAGTTGTAATTTAAACTTTATAAACATTAATCAAAGAAAGAAACTTATCCTTTTAAACATGAAGGGAATAGGTTTGCCGAATTGTTTATAGCGTGCGCGTTAGACCATAAGGTCTGCCATTGAGTCCATTGGCGTAGCTTCGATTTCCTGCTTGTACGTGACAATTTGGGTCTAAAATACATATTACCCACCCCTTGTAATAAAATAAACATCTTCGATCCTGCGAACTAATAGAACATTAGAAGATAAAAAAAACCAATAAAATAAAATAAAACCAAGTACGAACAATCCAAACCATTATACAAAATTCGAAGTCCTAAAAAAACGGTATAGGCAAAATAGTGTAATAAGGCAAAATAGTGTAATCAGCATATGGACTGTTCACCGTGTATACAATACAAGACAAACAGTGGAAACAGGTGTCCGGAAGAGTAAGCTTACCCTGCCTGTATTTTAAGACATACAGCAGCAGTATGGGACGTGAGAAATGGCATCAGATGTTCTGGAAAAAGTAAGCAAACTCTACCCCATGCACGACACTAAGTGGTTGACCATTTGAAATTATACATCATGAAAAGTGTTTGGTAGATCTGATAAAATATTTTAATATTTTAAATCCAAGTCCAATTTTAAAATAAAAATAATTTTACCTGTATCAGTATAAAGATGATTTCACAGATTTGTCGATATTTTTTTAAAAATAAATCCAGAATCAGGAATTATTTAACGGCAGAAAGTTCCAAATAGTTCGAAATTAATCACTAAATCAGTTCTTCCCATTAAATATGTGTCTCGTTGATTTTGGGAAAAAAATAAACACACACATAAAATAAATCAACAGATCCAATCATAGGAATGTCTTTCTAAAGCAAGAATTTCACTGGCTTCTATAACTTTGGTATTTCCGTCTTCAAATGTTTTACTCCTGTCTCGACCGCAATGGCGCGTTATAAATTAAAATAAAGTACTTGGATTTAATCTTCCCAAATTCCACTTTCACTTGAAAATTTGAAATGTATTTTTATAACTTAAGCAAACGACCGACAGAAATATCCCATTTCTTTGATTAGTTCGATTTTATATTTCAAACGATCCGATGAATTGTTCAGCATTAATCCGCTGTTTTACTCTAATACCCTCGCCTCTCCACCACTTGTCATGACGTTCTATAGTCGAGACTGATGCACAATTAAAACCTCCCAGCGAAAATGATCTAAATGCTTATTGAACAGAAAAACAAAACATAGTCAATACTGCACCGTATAAAGTTTAAGTTGTGTTTCAATTGTCAACAACAACTGACCCTTGTCCATCGATGTCCACAGTTAATGATGTCCAATATCCGCTCTGATCAACCTGTTCAAATCGACACGATAATTTGGACTCGTCTGTACCTTGACAAGAAGAGATACCAATAATACAGGTGGGTTAGTCCATTAAACTTGGGGAAAAGGTTCGTCATTAAGAATTGATATGGTTCTGAAAATGAGAGAGATAGAGAGAGAGAAATGGGGTTTAACGTCCACTCGACACAAACTAGGTCATTTCGGGACTAACATATGGTTTTATTTTATTTCAATAATTCGCTTGCGCGTAGGGGTCTTTAGCAGTGGGAGGAAACCGGAGGACCCGGAGGAAACCCACGAGTAGGCGATCCTACTCCTTGTCACGTACAACCGGGGATTCGAAACCATTCGGCCCCCCCCCCCATTGAAATGATCAATGAAATGAAATGAACTAGGGTTTAACGTCCTATATTTCTGTGCCAATGAGACTGATGAAGACGGGTGGTGTGTGTAGGGGGGTGGAGGGGTTCTAGGGTGTTTAACGTCATTCTTTTCAGCGCCTGTCCAACCTCGTGGGTTTTCTCCGGGTCCTCCGGTTTCCTCCCACTGCTAAAGACACCTACGCGCAAGCGAATTCTTGAAATAAAATTAAACCATGTGTTAGTCCCGAAATGACTTAGTTTGTGTCGAGTGGACGTTAAACCCCATCTCTCTCTCTCTCTCTCTCTCTCTCTCTCTCTCTCTCTCTTTCAGCGCCCACTGGACTGAGGAAGACGGTGGGGGGGGGGGGTAGCTGGGGTTTAATGTCCTACTTCTCTAAACCAACCGGGCTAATGATATAAAATGAAATAAAATGGGGTTTAATGTCCCACTGTTCTGCTCCTACTGGGCTCATGAAGACGACCATTCGCCATACATTGTGCTATGGGGGAAATTTTGTCTGGACAGCGGCATTACGGCCTACTATTATATTGAATTCCAACTGACAAGGGATCTTTTACATGTGTACCCGGGACATCGATTTTCGTCCCATCCGAACGACTATACATATACGTTGTCCCTTGTCTGGCCCTTTGTCCTGCACCACTGACAAGGGGAGACCACGCTGGAAAATCCCGATTAACTTTCTCGAGCAGTGCCGGGTTAATGATGATGAGATCTCGAGCAGTGCCGGGTTAATGATGATGAGATCTCGAGCAGTGCCGGGTTAATGATGATGAGATCTCGAGCAGTGCCGGGCTAATGAAGATGAGAGATATGGAAATGAAAATGACATAGAAACGTCTAGTTTTTCTTCACCGCCTGGGCTAATGAAGGTTGACATTATGCCATGTCGTGTTGCTATGGGGATTTTTTGCCCAGACTGAGGTGAAGCTGTGTCGCTTCTCTTTCAGCGTTCATGGGAAGAAAACGTCCAAACAATATGGCGACCGTGCCCCAGGTGTGGCGGCACCTAAATTGTGGAATAGTCTACCATTATATCTGAGATCTTATACGAAACTTCTTTTTAAATCAAATTTGAAAACTTAAAATTTTTAGAAAACATTTTTGCTCTTAAAAACGTTTTGCTATGTTTTATGTGAATTACCATTTATAGTGCTGGATTTTGTATGTATAGACTATTGAGACAATTGTGTAATATTATTTCCAGTTGGGTCTTTAACGTGCACGCCAATGAGTACACGGGTGAACCTCGTTTTTCTTACCACCCGGACGACTACTGAAAGGTGGGTTTAACGTGGCACACACCAATCACCAGGGGGGGTGGGTGGTAGCAGTAAAGGGGTGGGGAGGGGGAGCAGTAAAGAGGGGGGGGGATAAGATGTTTAGTATCTGTCGGAATATGAGAAGAGTTGTAGCCGTTTTGCTCTTACCGTTCTATCCCCAGCTATCAGTAGAAACATCATATAGGTATGGTGGCTGATTTAGGACACGCAAAAAAAAAAAAAATATTTCGAGCGCTCGAGTGGATGTTAAACTCTCTCTCTCTCTCTCTCTCTCTCCCTCTCTCTCTCTCTCTCTCTCTCTCTCATATATATACACACTATCAGTGTCTGGGAACGATTTTTCCGGTGATAACAAATATCTTGTTTTTCTTTTTAATTTATCTCTAAAATGATGACAAATATTGAAACAACACAAAAACTAAATCATTGACAAAGGCGTGAATTTTTGTTGAATATTTAACGTTTTATTGACGAGCACACAAAGAAAGAAATCACCAACAATGTAACGCTTTAATACACGAAATACCTTAAAAATAAAATGTTGGTTAAACAGGATACAAGCGTGTGAACAATAATGAAAGTTATTTATTTATAACACCTTATTGTTTTGTTAAGATATTAAAATACCGGAATGAAATGGAGTTTATCGTCCTGCTTTTCTACATGAACCGGTAATACCCCCGTCAGACCTGGGTGGCGTCCTTACTGCGCTGCTACGGCGACGGAAAATGGTCCCAGAGCGCGTCAAGAACGTCATAAGCGTGGTAAAAGTGTGGTGGAAACGCCAGATATCGTTCTGTGATCTCCATGGTCGCCAATGGGAGATAGAGAGAGAGAGAGAGAGAGGGAGAGAGAGAGAGAGAGAGAGAGAGAGGTTTAACGTCCACTCGACACAAACGCGCACGCGTTAACCCAAATGAGTCCTGTTTGTGGAGATAAAGCGCTGACGTTACCTAGAAATGCGATGCCATGGTTGACGCTCTGTAATGACTTACATACTTGTTTTAATTTCTTGTCGATCTATTAAAGATACCTTATGGGAGATTGGATAAAGAGCTGACAGTTCTCACTATGATAGTTAATAAAAAGATAATGTAATGGGAATATGCTAAAAATTTAAGTCAAATTACTTATCTCTGAGCCGAGAAATCCTCATTTTAATAACACTGTAGCCTTGATTGTCATTGTTACCGTTATTACGATAATAAACAAAGTCTCGATTATCCATTTTTACGGTTAATCATGAACAGCCGTTGGGCCACAGATCGAATTCAAATCTGTTGAAAATTGGACCCATCATATGACATCGAGAGTTGATTATGGTCTTGTTAATAACAAATGTGTAAATAATTATTTATATAATATTCAAGGCTTAAAGAAAGACCTGCTATAGGTAGATTTGGCTCTTGCATAATGTATGTTTAATTTTAATTACAGAAGGGTCATTAAAGATGGCGATCCCGGGTACGTGTTTTACGAAATACGAAAAGTAATAGGTCTGTGAAATAAAAAATTGTTTATTAAAAAGATTGAAATTTGGTGTGCGGCCGTCATTCGGTCTAGGTGTAGTGCCTAAATATAATCCATCCACTCAACCGATAATTTACAATAAACCGTTGACTCAGTCAAGCATACAGCAATATTGTGTATATATATATATATATATATATATATATATATATATATATAAACCTACATCAGTCATTATACTATACAATGTATATATATATAGAGAGAGAACCCCCCAGTCATTATAGTACAATATATCATAGGTAATTAGACCTCGTGTACACACCATGAATACTACACATGGTTCAATATAATGGTTCATTATACACTCAAGACCCGGGCTTTATTATATTCAGTTGTAGGGATCGACCTATAATAAAATATCTTTTATCCGTAATAGACTTTATTCATCTCTCTCTCTCTCTCTCTCTCTCTCTCTCTCTCACCGCGTTATGTAAGTTACATTTATGCTTAATCCTTTTTGAATTGATACTGCAAAGTTAGGCTAATGAATACGGGCATACGCCATGTTTGACATTTTCTCCGGGCAGCGACACTGCGGCCTATTCCTATTTCCAACTGTCAAGGGTTCCTTTACGTGCACTCCAATGTGTACACGGAACCTCGGTTTTCCCAACACCCAGGCACTGCTCATTGTCGAGCTCTCCATCATGCACAAAGGATAGGGGGGAAACCATGCTGAAAAATCCCGAGGAACCTCTCGGCCTACACAGGGTTCGAACCCGGGAACTCCTGCTAAATGAGCTAGCAGGCTACTCACTGATCCACTTTGGCTCTTTTAAAGAATAAAACCGAAATAAGTTTTTAATCTTACCTGAAATATAACACATAGAAATATACACCGTCACAGATCGAAGTTTTGTACTTTATAAAGTTATCCACAGTATGCCACACCTTTAAACATACCTTTAATACGTCACATTCTTTTTAATTAACAATACCAATAAACGACGTGATGATCGAGTGTATAAATACCTAGATGTCACCATCCAGAGACGTGATTGTCAAGATCGCATTCATTAAGTTTATTGGTTTTCAATTCGCTATTATTATTGTAATGGGCCATGGTTGTTATTCAACATGAAGAAAGAATTTTTTTTTGTTATTTTTCTTGTATTCTGTTCCCAACCAGGGATTAAATGTGGTCTAGCCATGTCTGGATATTACTATTATGGAAGCAGACGTCGAAACCTCAAGCTACTGGCTTTTGTAATATTATAATTTTACGTGCACAAGAGTATGTACTTATTCTGACGACTGATTTTCGTAGTGACACACTGTTCTTGTTAGCATAGCAATTTGTAGACTAATTCTGAAATATTACCCCTTTCTCCTTCCCATCCCCTACTCCCTCCTCCCCATTTCTTCGTCCTCCCGACCCCTTCCTTCTCCCCCTACTACTTCCATCACACAGACACAGACACATGATGGTTCGGCGAGTAAGGCGCAGAATCGATAACCAGCGGGGTCTAGGGTTCTCTCCCGGTGTTGGCCGACGTGGTTTCCCCTTGTCAGTGGTGCAGGTTGGCGATATTGGCAAGGACAGTGTCTAGTCGTTCGGATGGGACGAACAACCGCGATCCAATATACACATTCGCATGCATGTCAAAGAACCCCTAAAAGTTGGAATTCCATTAAGAGTATACCGTAGCGCCGCTGCGCAGGCAAAACTCGCATCATAGCACACTGCATTAGCCCAGTTAGTTAAGAAAAATAGGACGTTAAACCCAATTTCATTTCATCTCTATTTCCGGGTATCGAGTTAATTAAAGCAGGGAAATTCAATATTATATTTTAACCGTAATCAAAGAGATTGACCTCCTGTAAAGG